CCCTAATCAGGGCTGTTTTTCCAGTATGAATAGGATGATTGAGAACATCAGTACAGATATTATCTTCTGGTCCTTTGGTAAACATCAGGATGTGCTTTCCCATCAATTGATGGAGAATTCCTTTAAAAAGTAAGGCCAACTGCTCCAACAGATGCTGATACCATGAGCCCTCTAACACAGACATTTTGTCCCCCAAAAATGGCATACTGCCTCAAACCCTGAGCAGGTCAATTCAATAACTTTCTTAGTGAACGTGTAGACTTCAGCAACTATCAGCTGGGTGAGCAGCAAGATGGGGGTGGTACTCAGGTTGACCATTTGGACTAATACCTTCTCCCGTTTGAAATTTGAAATAAGTCCTGGCCACTCACACATTATTTTTAAGTCTTGTTTGGGTTCCATCATAACAGTGGCTCCTTGCAACCTTTTCCAAGCTCCCACAAGGCATGGACAGATTACCTTTTGCCTTTGCTTTAGCTGCATCTTGTGTCTCTGTGGCAACCTCACTACCCCTATTCTCTGGCTGCTGAGAGTCAATCTTGAATTCAGCCTGATAGGCATTGATTAGATTTTAAAGCTGAAGTTGCTCCTGGGAGGGGACAACTGGTAGCATTCTTATGTGATTAAGTGAGGTCTAATTCTGGTAAGGCATTCTTGACAAACACCACAGGGACATCTACTGGGGCCCCATGAGAGTTACCACCACTCCAATGTGATTTGCTGTCTGGTCGAATACTTTAATGAGCATCCAAGCAACCCCTTCTAACGGAATAACAATATTCACAGCCTTTAAAGTTAGCCAGGATGGATCCAGGGTAGAGGCCTGCCTAAAATACAGTTGGTAGAAAGCATTGTCTATGGTGGTCACCTCAACCCTTGTATCCACCAACCATTGAGCTTGTCGTCCATTCATCTCCACAGTGAGCACAGAGGATAATGATATATCAATTTGGAGTTACTCCTGGGACACACAAAGAAGTTCCTACAGGTCATCCCTCTGCCCCAGGAACACCTAGTTTAGCGGTATGGCGGGGAGAATTCCTGTTATCCTCCCAGCTAGTTTCTCGCTATATGCCACTCGATGACCAAACCTATGCTTTCTGTCCATATCGGGATCATCCACTAAGATGTTGCTCACCAGGGCTTGCCCCCGCTCCCATTTTACAGTTGAAACTTCTTGGTTGATGGAAGCGAGGAACTTGGTCAGTCCCTGAACAGCAGACTCCACCACAGAAAGAGGAGAAAGGGCAAGGGCTTCCTACCTCAATAGTAGTCATCCACCTCCTTGGGTTACTTCAACTCGAGCTTCTACATCCTCCTGCTCTCTCTCCACTGCATCAGCTAATACTAAACACCAAGTCTTTGTCGGCTTTAACCTTGTACTACAGTGTCCAGTGGAGGGGTTTGTCTCAAATCCCTGAGATAAATTAATCCCTATTGACTTGTTTAGGGGTCCAGAGGAGGCACAACCATCAGCCATTTCCACAACTTCTGAATATCAATAGAAAATTCAAAAATAGTCTTGCCTTCTTGCTGCTTCCTCACAAAGAATTGCTGCCTCAATTTCACCACAGGGGTCATAGCCCCATACAGTCTTTCTAGTCTGGCTGTAATTTGTGCTCAGGTGGTACGTTCCAGCTCTGGCAGCACCAGAATGTCTCTCCCATCATCTTTGTGAACAGTCAGGTCAGGAAGGAAGGCCTTCAGCATGTTAAACAAGTAGGCTTTACTCTACAATCACTCCACCCAGTCAGCTAACAGGAGGTTTTGGTCATTATAAACTGCTAAAAAAAATAAACACTTTAAAAATACATGAGATCTCAAGGAGAAAAATATCATGTTGGATAGCTTGTATGCATGCCTGACAATGTTGGTGCATGCTCCTAATGAGAAGACGGATGGTGTCCTGGAGTATTTCCTCCCAGATCTGGACCAGAGCATCACTGAGCTCCTGGACAGGCTGAGGTGCAACCTGACGGCGTCCGATGTCATCCCAGAGGTGTTCTATTGGATTTAGGTCAGGCGAGCATGGGCGTCATTCAATGGTATCAATTCCTTCATCCTACAGTATTTGCTTGCATACTTTCACTACATGAGGCTGGGCATTGTCGTGCACCAGGAGGAACCCAGGATCCACTGCACCAGTGTCGGGTCTGACAATGGGTTCAAAGATTTCATCCTGATACCTATAATGGCAGTCAGGGTACCATTTTCTAGCCTGTAGAGGTCTGTGCGTCCCTCTATGGATTAGCCCCCCCAGACCATCACTGACCCACCACCAAAACAGTCAGGCTGAACAATGTTACAGGCAGCATAATGTTCTCAGCGGCTTTTCCAGACCCTTTCACGTCTGTCGCATGTGTCCAGGGTGAACCTGCTCTCATCTGTGAAAATTACAGGGCGCCAGTGGTGGAACTGCCAATTCTGGTGTTCAATGGCAAATGCTAATCGAGCTGTATGGTGCTGGGCAGTGAGCACAGGGCCCACTAGAGAATGTTGGGCCCTCAGGCCACCCTCATGAAGTCTGTTTCTGATTGTTTGGTCAGAAACATTCACACTAGTGGCCTGCTAGAGGTCATTTTGTAGGGCTCTGGCAGTGCTCATCCTGTTCCTCCTGGCACAAAGCAGCAGATACCGGTCCTGCTGATGGGTTAAGGACCTTTTACGGCCCTGTTCAGCTCTCCTAGAGTAATTACCTGTCTCCTGAAATCTCCTTGATGCTCTTGAGACTGTGCTGGGAGACGCAGTACACCTTCTGGCAATGTCACGTATTGATGTACCATCCTGGAGGAGCTGGGCTGCCTGTGCAACCTCTGTAGAGTACAGATATCACCTCATGCTACCAGTAGTGATACTGACACTAGCCAAATGCAAAACTAGTGAAAAACAGTCAGAAAAGATGAGTAGGGAAAAAAATGTCAGTGGCTTTCACCTGTAAAACCATTCCTGTTTTGGGGGTCGTCTCATTGTTGTCCATCTAGTGCACCTGTTATTATACAGGATTTATATAGCACCAACAGTTTGCTCAGCGCTTTACAATATAACGGAGACCATACAGCAACAATACAGTTCAATACAAGAGGCCCTGCTCCTTGGAGCTTACAATCTAGGAGGGAGGGGCTAGTGGTACAAAAGGTAGTAACTGAGGGATGGAATGGTTGGAAGAGTAGAAGATTCCAGTATTAGCTGAGGGCAGGATAGACTTCCCTGAAGATATAGGTTTTCAGAAATCACCTGAAAGTGAGCAGAGTAGACGATAGTCTGATAAATTGGGGTAGAGAGTTCCAGAGGATGGGGGAAGCTCTGGAGAAGTCCTGGAGACGAGCATGGGAGGAGGAGACAAGGGAGCTAGAGAGTAGGAAGTCTTGCGAGGAGCAGACAGTACGGTTTGGGTGATATTTGGAGACAAGATCATTGATGTAATTTGGGGCAGAGTTATAAATGGCTCTTTACGTTATTGTTAGTGTTTTGAATTTTATCCATTGGGCAATGGGAAGCCAGTGGAGGGATTGGCAGAGAGGGGTGGCAGATACAGAACAGTTAGTAAGGTGGATGAGTCTGGCAGCAGCATTCATGATAGACTGAAGAGGGGATAGCCTGAGATTCGGTAGGCCAATGAGGAGGGAGTTACAATAGTCAAGGCGAGAGATAACATGGAAGTGAATAAGTTGCTTAGTAGTTTCCGAGGTTAGGAACGGGCGTATCTTGGAGATGTTGCGGAGGTAATTTCATTAACACCAAATCAGCTGAAACTGATTAATAATCCCCTCTGCTACTTAACAGACCAGATCAATATCCCAGGAATTTAGGTGACTTGACACTATACTCTGATTAAAAAGTGTTCCTTTAATTTTTTTGAGCAGTGTGTATTTAAATTTTAAAATAAATATGCCCAGAGCTTCTCCCACTAATATGTGCTATAATATCACACTAAATAAATCTAATTAAAAAATAATGAAGCGCTCTAGTTATCACAAAAAAAAAAAAAAAAAAAAAACAAACAGTGCGCTTGACACTAAACAAAACACCAATACATCCTATAACATGTGTTTGATTATTTTGATATATGAAAATGTATATCACATATACATTGTGCACAAAATATATTCAAAAAAAAAAAAAAGAAAAAAAAAAATAATGAATAAGCAGCCTTTGGTACAGGTGACTTTGCATATGCAATTTTCAATTATAAGATACAGTACATGTGGGTAGATGTCTACCACAAAAAGTGGGAAACCAGACAGCACATCAAGGTTGTCTTCACACCCAGAATATGCAAAGTCACCTGCACCAAAGGAGTCACTACTACTATTATTAGTGATAATGGTCCTGCCACTGGTACACTGACATCATGTAACATCAAAGTAGTGATTCTTAATGAAGTGCTAGATGACAGCAGCTTTTGAACGTGGATATCATGGGAGTATATCTATTACATTTAAGTGCTGTTTGACCTACTGTTTTTTTAACTACTGGGGTCCATTATTCAAAATGAGGGCACATATATAGCAGTGCACAAATACACAGCAAACACACAGTGCATGGAGAAATATTTAAAGACACTGTGAAGATATGCGTTTTTTTTTTTTTTTTTTTTTTTTTTTTTTTTTTTTTTTTACACAAAAAGGCTGTTTTATATTTAACATTTATTTAGACAATGGGATTGTTTGAACTGGTCACACAATATTTTATAAGGATACTTGGAAATTGTGATTTATTATACTTTATTGAATGTATTTTTTTGCAAAATACACGATTTGGATTTATGTAAATTTAGATCACATTTTTTGTATTACTGTTTTGTTTACAATCAAGTCCACTATTGTTTTGTTTTTTTTTTATGCAATTTATTTTTTTTAATAAAATTAATTTGTATTTTCCTAAAACTAATACATCCTGGGATATTGTTATATTGTTATTCCAATATGGTGTTGTGATAAAGACATTACGTTTTTGACCCACAGTTTGTCTAGTTTGCAATTCAAACTTTGGCTTCTATTGCAGGAGGGATCAGAGGAGATGTTCTAATTGACATTGGCACTGGACCCACCATCTACCAACTTCTATCTGCATGCGAATCTTTTCCTTACATCATTGCCTCAGATTTCACAGACCAGAACCGAGAAGAGCTTGAGAAGTGGCTGAAAAATGACCCAGAGGCTTTTGACTGGTCAGAAATTGTGAAGACTGTCTGTGAGATTGAAGAAAAAAAAGGTATGTAATGTAATCCTACCAAGAGCTTATGTACAGTAATGTGAAAAATTAAGCATACCCAATGAAACTTGCCGACTTTTTCAACATATCTTGACCACTTTTCCATACAAAATTCCTTCAGTTGCAAGCGGTTTGTGGGTTTCCTTGTATGAACTACCCATTACAAAATTTCAGTGAGAATAAAGTCACTAGGGCAGTTCATAACTCTATTTCTTAATTTTCAAGCCATTTTTGATGGTTTTGCTTGTGCATCTCAGATCATTATTGTGTTGAAAGTCTAATTTCCGATGCAATTTGAATGTTTGGATAGATTGCTTCACATTCTCATTAAGCACACTTTGATATGATGCAGTATGTATATACTGTAGATTGCAATGACTGCAAGCTGCCTAGGCTCTAATGCAGCAAACAAGCACTAAATCATGTTTTTTCACCATTATGCTTCACAGTTCTTATGACTTTGCTGTGACCAAACAACCCAATGTTTGGCTGATCAGTCTTCAGAACATGGTTTCAAAAGGCCCATTTTTTGCCCATATGTTTAAGGGCCAACTGAAATTTTTCTTGTAATGTAATGTTAATTTTGGAAAGCAAAAACTTTTCTTAAATTCTCTCATGCAGGTTAAACTAATGCAATCTCTTTCTGAATGTAGCTGCATGCAATTTGACTCCAACAGTTGCAAGAGTTACCTAAACACCATGAATGAAACTTTGGAGGTCCTTGGAGATTTCTGATAACAATCAGCTCTTGGTTGGAATTTACTGGGCCAGTCAGTGCTTAACAAATTAGCAATTATTTGAAATTTATGCCACTTGTAGATTATTTTCCTTCTAGTGGAATGGTTGATGACAAATCATTTGGCAACTTTGAACTGCAAACAATATACTACTACTACTACTGCCAATAATAATAAAAAAAAACCTTTAATTTATATAGTACCTTTAAAAAGGTAGCTTGTCAAAGTACTTTTCAAAGACAAGAGAAACAAAAAAACACACAAAGAAATACACAGGGTAAAACAAAAGAAAAGGAAGAAGGACAGCTTGTCTAAAGAACAATGTTTTTAGATTTTATTTGAATGAGTTTAGAGAAGATGACTCTCTGATGTTCTTTGGAAATGTACTCCAGAATTTTGGAGCAAACCAGGAGAAGGTTCTGTCTCCCACTGAGTGTAGGGGAACAGAAGGAAGCCCAGAATTTGAGGAGGAGAGGTTATGGGAGGGGAAATACGTTGATAAAAATTCAGACAGGTAATGGGATCACCAAACTATGAAGAGCCTTATAGGTGAGCAAGAGGATATTAAAGTCTATGCGAAACCTGATGGGTAGCCAGAGGAGGCTTCAGAGTTTGAGGTTCTTTTTAAATCCATTTTCAGACTCATAGGCATCAATATAGCCTAAGAGAGCTCTACTGATCTTGGCATAATGACATGTCAATAGCAAAGAGCACCAGATCCTAGATATTTGAAATTTTAATTAGACAGGTTCCACTTGCATACATCCTCATAAGGTTGTAATTATTGAAACATGATCTGGATTCTAATAGATTTGAAGTACTGGTAAATGTAAGTGTCACGATCTGGGTCAGGTTCAGAGACCAGTTGCTACAGCAGTTGTAAGGCTTACCTGAAACCAGCAGGATTGGTACACCAGCGGCCCACCCTGGGAATGACGCAGGCTCACCTGAGGTGCGGGGTCTAAGCATCCACCGGTCTTCCCCAGAGCTCCTAATGGTGGAGATGGATTTGGCTGCGTGTGAATGCCAGGTCGCAGATCTCAGGATCACCCCACCAGGGAATGAGTAGGCTGGAAACCGAAAGCGGATCAAACATTTCAGGGATCAAACAGAAGCGGAGTCAGTCACAAGCCAAGGGTCGGTCACCAATGGTAGTAGATAGGATGAGGCAGAATCGTAGTCAGTAGCAAGCCAAAGGTCGGTAACGTAGATGAAGACGGCAGCAGGAACAGTTAGCAGCTATTGGCTGGTAAGGCACAATAATCTGGCAACCAGGAAGTGCAGAGACATGGCTTTTATAGGAAGTTCATGGGAGGAGCAAGGAGTTCAAGGTTCAAGACAAAACAGGTCAAAGGCAGGATCATCCAAAGAATTGTCAAGGGAGCTGTCCAGCATTCCAGATGGCTCAGTGAGAAGAAACACTGTCTCTCACCGCAGAAGGCCCAGGTTCGATTCCAGGCTCTGACAGTAAGGGTGTAGGATATTACAAATCTGCCTTTTTGTTAATCTGTATCATGAAAATAAATACTCCACGTAAATTCCATGTCATACATATCGACTTTTTTTGCTGTATGCACTATTTGAATCAAGATCTAATGTTTGCCTGTTCAAATATGGTTAAAAAAGTCAACTGTTTCCATAGGGCGTACTTACTTTTTCACATAATTATATACAGCTTTGTGACCTACATCTCCAGTTCAGCAGTTCAAATATGTTCTCCAGCAGAGAATCAGTAACTAGGCCTGCATGAGATGATGTCTTCAGGTAGGAAGGAACATTTCACTAGTCCTCCCTGAGTAATGTTCCTTGTGGAAGCAAAAGCATATGAAGACATTGTCAGGGAGAGTAATGTGATCTCTGGTAAAGGTAATAAATAATTGAAAGTGTTACATTGATACATTAGTTAGGTTGGTGAAATTTAGGTTCAATGTAAATAAAGACATAGAAAGCTTCACCAAGTTTAATATTTCATGTTTAAAAGCAGGGACGAGTGGGAAGAGAAGCAGAATAAGTTGAGATCCAGAATACAGAAGGTTCTGAAGTGTGATGTAACCAAGACTAATCCACTGGACCCCACTGAGGTCCCCCTTGCAGACTGCCTGATCACCTCCCTCTGCCTGGAGACAGCCTGTAAAGACCTGGAGGCATATCGCTGCTCTATTCAGAATATCACAAGACTGCTAAAACCAGGAGGACACCTGGTGCTTATCGGGGCCCTGGGGAACACCTACTACATGGTACAGCAGAAAGCCTTCTTCTGTCTTTCCCTAGATGAAGATGTTGTGAGGGGTGCAATCATCCAGGCTGGATACACAATACAAAGCTTGGACATATTACCAATCCCTGAGAGAATGGCTCACTTCCACACTGCCGACAGCTTGGCCAACTTTTTTCTTGTGGCAATAAAAAATGCAGACAATGCGCTGATTATATGAAATGTAACAAATTACTAGTACCAATGCACATAACGTTTCAAATTTTACATGTTGGTAGAGTAATTATTCCTCTAAACAAAGCTACTACTCAGCATAGTCTCCATCACAAATGATGCATTTGCACCATCAATGAACCTAACTCTCTTTAAAAAAAATTCAGGTGTGATCTGCTGCAAGTGTTTAAAGCCAATGAAAATACCATTTTGCTGATCTGGTGACAGTGGATGAAATGTGGGCTATCTTTATGGTCCGGAAACTTAGAATCGGTCCATAGAATGGCGTCACACCTCTTTCTCCTTGATTTTCTGGAACTTGGCCATAACATGATCAATGATCAGTACATTGAGACACCTAGAAATTAGAGGAGCTATTAGAAGGAAAAGACCAAACAAGAATTTGAAAACGATCCACATTTAGCATGACAATGTGTGACTGCACACATCTTTGGCAACAAATCAGGCAAGCTGCAAAATCGGCTGGTAAGTGGTCCCCCTGCCATCATATAGCTCAGATTTAGCACCCTCCGACTTCCACTTGTTTGGTCCAATGAAAAGCAGTGAGTACAACAGTGCACACCTACATTTTTTCAAAAAGAATTTGAGAGTTGGTTTCAACAATGGAGCTAATGCATTGGATGGAGACTGTGTGGAATAGTACCTGTGTTTAGAGGAAGCGTTACCCTACCAAAATGTGAAATTTGAATGACGTATGCAGGTTAATAAGAGAGTTATGCCCACCTTTGCATTACTTTTGTTACAGCCCTTATATTTGATTCCTGTGTGCTGGTCATATACTAAAGATATAATATGTGATACATTTGTACATTTGTTCTACATTATAAAATAAAAGTGACAATCTCTCAATCTATGTCATTGTCCATCTATCTATCTATCTATCTATCTATCTATCTATCAATGTCTCCCAGAATACAGTCTCATTATATTAGTTGCTGTTACAAATCTCAATATTGTCAACAAGTTTTCATAAAACTAAAATATCCACATACATTGTTATATTGTTTAGGCTGGTATTCCAGTATGTTTCAGTAATAAGCACATTATAAATGTTAATGGGTATCTGAAAGGCTGTTGCTGGTGTCTTTGTAATTAACACATATTTTGTGGTCCTTCCTTGTGTCCCATGCTCCCTCTGTCTTTTTTGTAGCACTACCCCATTGGGAGTTGATGAAGTTTTGGGTCCCCTTATAGTCCTGCACAGCCAGACAACACACACTTTCCACATCAACTTGCATCCTGGACACAATACCCAGTTCTTGAGCTTGTTTTAAAGTTTTATTAGGGGATTTGAACGTGGATAGGGTAAGGGGTGTACGGGATGCCCAATGGAAATAAGAAACTGAGGACAACTTCCTGGAAGTATATACAGATTTTTACAGCAAAACAGTCTCTATTGGAGAGCTAGCCAGCATCTCCAGTTGTACTACCCCCGACCCCAGATGAATCCTTCTATCATCTAGCTATCTGAGGGAAGTTCCTGAGCAGTAGATTCAGTGCCTGCCACGTTAGAGTAAGACAGTCCCAGGTAGCTGCTAATCTGGATTTCCACCAGAGTGTTCCTTCCCCATCTGGCCCAGGGGGTGCAGGTCTACTCACTTAGTCCTTCTCCTATGTTGCCGGTTGGTTGATGGTTGCTACGAGGCCTTCTAGCTGGGCTGCTCCTTCCCTGACACACAAATGGTCCTCCTGCCTGGAGGTGAGCCCCTCTCCCATCTGGGCCACCTCCCAGGCTCCTGCTCTCCAGCTTCACATTCCCCTCTTCCACCCAAACTCTCCTCTAACTCTCCTCTTGCTGAGGCAGGCTCAGTTACTCTTTAAGGCTGCCCTGACCCTTTGCCAAGCCTCCCGTTGGGGATTGACCAGGATCCTCTAAGAGTACAGACCAGCCAGTCCTCATCTCCACCCATTGCTTCTAGATATTTCTTCAAAGTCCTAGAACAGGGGGAAATTCCAGAGAGCTGGTCTGCACAGCCTCTCAGCTCTGACCTAAATTTGACCCACTTGGCTATCACACACCCAGGCTGCTACTCGGCCTCTAACTAACAATTGAAGATGGCGCTCCCCCTAGCTACCTAGAAGGGTGCTACATTTACAATCCTAGTAAACCTCAACATATACTGTATAACAAATCTTGAACAGCTAAATTTACAAGATAAAAATAGTGCTATTTACACATTTTTAGTAATTTTAGTATTTTGTTTGCATACACCTTAAGTTTTGTTAGTTGAAGGACAATAGAGCATTGCAGGATTGTTGGCTTAGCATCCAAAAATGCAAGTTCAGGGTTTCATCAGCCTATGCAATTTTCAGCTTAGTTTTCATACAGTACATTTTTGGCCACTTTGGTTGACTGCAGAGAGAGGACGCTGCTGGCTTTAATTGGTATGGAGGATGTGCTACTTCCCCTTCCCTACTTTATCTACTAAAATTTAGGCAAATCAAATTTCATCAGATTCTTACCACTATTATTGAGTAAGTCTATAAAGAACAAGGATTCCACGTACTTCTGGATTCATCTTGACGTCTCCTTAGATCAACACATTTGAGCTTCTGGCAGTCATCTGGCTGTAATTTTGAACTGGCCTGGAGCTGGTGGGGGAGAAGGGGAGATGGGCATTCCAGAACAGCATAATTGGCTTGATAGTAGATTTCAGGAATTTCTGTCCTAATTTTGGGTCATTCAGCAGGGTTCTCCATTTTTTTTAAATTATCCTTTGAATAGCATGATACTGGTCATTGAATTTGGTTATGAAACAGAGGGCTCTCAGC